CCACATTCATATATTTTAATACCGGTTAGGTTTACTGATATTAGTTGCATATCAAACTGCCAAGAAAAACTGATACCTCACTAATAGGGTAGTTATTTCATCAATTTTTTAATTACTGACCGTTTTGAGCAAAAAAATGAGGTACAAATATATGTTACAATATGAGCGGCTGACGTAATTTAAAGAAATTTACGCATTAGAAGTATTGAGAAATTCATGAACCAAAAAATGCTATTTATTAACTTCATTTTACATTTATATAACATTTTATATAGACATTTCATGCGACCCTGCTACCGCCAAATATACATGTCATATTAGTGTCTTCTGCAGCTACTAACTGGAAATTCGAAAGCAACGGGTGGGTGGTCGTTAAAGAATCACGAGCGGCTCTGTTCCCTTTGTGCTTCATCCCTGAGGATATCATCTCACCTAAGCCATCAACCAACCCATAGCGAAATAGGTGATGATGTTACCCAGAGGGGTCTCCCTTAGATTGGCCATGATAGGCCGGCTGTCTCCCATTATGGATTTTCTAGTTGACGTTAGGTATCCTTTGATAATTATGAATATCTCCTGACTAGAACTGTGCCTGTTTGAAATAATTTTGCATATTTAATGAAGTTTGCGTCATTTGCCTCGAGATAACGAGCGCAACTCCAAACAAACGAAAATAAACAAATGTTTTTAAAAATAACCGCTTCCTATCCGTTTTCATAAATGTTTACATAACTGTTAATGCAAGGCATTAAATATGATTTTTGAACAGCTTATTCACAAGAAGATCGAATAATGTTTTACATATTTAGTATTGTGAAAAAATAAATGCCTATATTATTTATTACAAAAAGATATAGGTATATTTATTAAGTATCTAGAGAAATAAACATGTTTTGCCGCAATCGGCGACACTGGTTGAAGAACATTCAAAATATAGTAAGAAAAATATCCGAAAGCCTCAACAACATTTACAACTCAAATTCAATCAAGTTTGGATTTGTTAAGAATCTGAAATATTATAAATAAACCCATTAACAATTCAGCCATTGAATTATTTTTTGTAAAGAATGCTTGAAGTTTGATACCAAGAAAACTCTTACAATGGAATGAAATAAGTGAAGTTTTATTCATGTCGAAAGTTAACTTTTTACACCCACCTTTAATGTAGCGTATTTTTAAATAAAGTAGATATGATATCGATTAAATTAAGGCTAAAATTCTACAAAAAATCGTACCTCGATATCAAATGATCAGTGGCGTGCATACATTATTTTTAAACATATTTTTTCAAGATTTATTTTTCCTATAGGTTAATCTTAAATTAACATTCTTAATTTCAAAGTAAGTTCGTAATGCTTTATTAAAATGTAATGCATCAACTCAAAGGAGAGAATTTGACAGATGTCGAAAAATAAAAAAATATTACACAAAAATATTGTTTTAAGGCTATTCTTGAATATTTTAATTTGATTTTAACAGCAGAGGTCAATAAAATCAATTAGCTGAAGTTTCGATACCAGAAAAATTTTCAAAATTTCACATAAAAAAATTATCATAAATTCCATAAAAAGATTGACTTGGACCTCAGCAAACAATTTCAGTATGTAAATTACTTGCAATTGCAAGTTTATATAAAAAAGATTGAGAGACAACAACACTTAGTAATGGCAAAACAAAAAATAAAATTCGTAATAAAAGGAATTTAGAAAAATATCTTTAAAGAATTACGTAAAAGCAGTTGTAGGGAAAGTATTTTTATAAGAAAAATAAACTTAGAAGAGTTTAGTTTTAAGAAGTGAAAGTGTGAAAAACCGAAACTCAAAAAACTTGACAGCAATGACACAAGTCACAAACTAGATCTTAATATAAAGAGGAAAAGGATTTATAGAACTCATAACACGAGGGAAGAATAGAGGATATAGTAATTCAGAATAGCCAAGCAACAAACTCAACGATATATTGGGTGATTAAAAAACCGTACAAAATACACTAGGATTGGTCTTAGAAAGGACTAGCAGACAACAAAGTGGTTATTTTTAATAATTTTTGCAATAGGTTATAAAAAATTTGTTTCACTTTCCCAAACTGTCTTTGAAACTTTTTCTGAATCAAATTTTAAAACCAAAATACGATACTTTGAAAAGAAAAATAAATCAGTTAAAAAACAAAATTCAGTAAAAATAATCATATTTAGAGATAACAAATAAAGTACCGGGTTGAAAAATTCGCTACAAACAAAATACAAACATTTTTTGCCAGTAAAACATGAAAAATTATAAAGAAGAACTATCTATCAAATAAGTCGAACAACAACAACATGGCTCATACTGAGTAAACGGTTCTTTAAGTCTATGCATCCCGACTGCACCTTGATATATCCGATAGCGATCGACTAAAAAATCAATGAGTAAATTGCATATATTGACTGCAGTTATCATTAATCCCGCACCAGTTCTGTAATTTAACACTTGGTAATGTCCGTTTTATCGCGGGCCGTTAATTGAAGAAAAATACACAGAACAAGTTCTAGGGCATTTATATGCATATAAATCTAGTTACCCGGACAGAAAACAATCGCTTTGACATTTAGATATTTTGAATAAATTACTAAAGCGCAAGGAGCAATTATTTCCTACGGTTTGAGTTACTTGCCAACGTAAGTGACGTGGGTGTGTGATTACATTGCTATGTAGCATTTGTTTTGTCATGTGTTTAGAAAGTGTTAACAGTACAGATCGAAGACCGGTCTCTCGGTGGACAATGGACATTATTGCTGCGTTCTGTGATAAGCCGCAAACAATACGTAGATTTCTCTGAGCAGAACGCTGATATAAGTTACATTTTGTATGCAAATCGGGTGAGTGTTATTGACAAAAACAAAACGCAAATACGAGTATTACTTGAAATTAGTTTAAGTTCTAAGTTATTAACAATGAAACATAATTTTGCTTCAGAGAACTATGATCTTGGTAATAAATAACGATTTTGTTGAACGATGTTTCGTTTTAATCTATTCCTAATAGAAATACAAGTTTAAAAGCGGGTATAAACTTGGGTTGAAGTATTCACAACCTCAGAACAGTTTTGCTGAAATCGAGACAACGAATAATCGGAACCGAGCCCTACTGATAAAGTATGTAAAAGGTGGAGGTTTATCCAGTACATATAAATTTGCCAAAAGCTACTTTGTAACCCCCTTTTCAAGGAATTGCTTATAAAATGGAAAGAGCTTTTCCACATGCTTTCATTTACTAATTTGCAGATCTTTCTAATAACCTTCTTTCCAAAATAAAGTTAAAATCATCCCAAAACCAAGTCATTAAAATGTTTTCATAGATGTATGAATTTAAGATTTTGGAACGTAAATTCGCACAGAAAACGCACAAAGAATTACACTGGGATTTTTTTCAATTAGGCCGAAAGAACTAGCTAGTGTAGTGAATGGACTTTTTTTCTAGCTGCTCCATTATTTACTAGTTTAAATTTAATACAAATTGGTAAACAATAACAAAACCTCAAAGACACGCCTTTTATTTCACACATAATTGGAAACAGATATTAAATGGGTTGGTCACGAATTTGCCTACCCGATTTTAAAACGCTTTCATACAAGAAACTTTGTTTTTCGTTAAAACAATTACTTGATAGATTAAGAGTTTTTACTTACTGTTGGAACGAAGCAATATAAAAGTCAAGGTTACCTTCAATGCAATTATATCTATCTCATCTCTGATCTACATCTACATCTGACTATGTATCTATGCAAATTATGAAGAGTGACTTAAAAAATATTGGACCAAGAAAATAATCCCGTGGACCATTCAGATTATTTATTTATAGTATGCGTCAAATACTGGGTGATTTCACTTTAAATTAATCTTTATAGAACCGTAAGTGTTCATTATAAACTTTTTAGACACTTTTTCGTGCATTTATTTGTATGTTTCTATAGTAGGATCATATTTGATGCAAAGTAATAAATCATTGCCTGTCAAGGGAACCAATGAAGTACGCTTTTAAGGGTTTTACAAATTGAATAATTTCTTTATACATTATGAAGGGACGAGGGGATCAGTTCACGTCTGGCACCCTTGTTCCTACAAAAATTCCTTTATTCTCATAAACTATTTATTTTAAATGTAATTTATTATATATCCAATTTGTTCCCTAAATTCCACATATGTACTACATTTTACCTCTGCACGCGCCACTGTTGTTTATTTGTTTTTTGGAAGCGCTCTCTAATTGACGGCAAAGCTCGCCCGGTTAATATTTGACGTATAACCGACCAGTTCGTACACTCGATGCACCTGGGCGACTACAGCTACTACCAGAACACAGTGCATATGCAGCGGTATTTCAGATTTTACATTGAATTTCATTTTAAATTTGAAATGATTTATTTTACGCCTCCTAAAAATGATGACACGATTTTCCTTTGATAAAAGACCGACAACTTTTTGCTCTACATTGCATCGAATACGATCCTACTATAAGTTACAAATACTTTTAATTTTAATTCCATCACTATAGTCAGTGGCGTGCGACCGGAATGCGGGAGTCTGTTTTTATGTAATAAAAATGAACGACACAAAGTTTTTCCAAATCACCCTGTACAATTTTTTTAATTAAACTTTACTCGGGTTCTCCTAGGTTTTCGAAACGTCTTCTGTACCTGGCAATAAATGTGAAATGTTCACTAAATTACTGAAGACTCCTGCCTTTTTTGTTGGTTTCGCAAGTAGTGACTCTGCAACAAATGAAAGTCTTCTTAATGAACGCCGCAAACTAGAAAGATAATCTCGTCGCTACGGATTAAGAGAACCTGTATTTGTTCGCCGCATTACTTAGTAAATATAAAAATTTGCTTCCACCTCATGAAAGGCTACACCTACAACTAATGACCGAGACCTTCGGCGCCGATGTGTTTCGCATGTTAGCTTCATTTTTTTATCTATATTTAATCGGATATGAAAACTAATTGCTTTTTCTTGTTACAGCATACCCACGATGAGCCAGTGAAGAATGGCACAGACATACATAAAGTGAGTACCTAAGCACAAGATTTCGTCGCTTTTTTAAACGTTCTTTTAAATAATTTTCCTACCCCACTGCTGGACAAGCAGCGCATGCACATTGAGAACTGGGCTATGCATTGTTGTCAAATCTTATAATTTAAAGGATTAAAGATTATTAAAAAGCAATTCTTCACATCACTCGCCGTGAGGTACTGCTCTTTGGGATAATCCATCTGATATCGTCTTCTTGTAACATAATCTTTTTCCTCGGACAAAAAGTAGACTCTAATTATATCAACTCTTTCTTGATTTATAGCCATGCTTTTTCATAATACCATTTAAAAACTTGAAAACAAAAACACAATACACTGTACTGTCACTAAACACTGAAATAAATAACTTTATAAGGTGTTACACTTACACCACACAAAGGTAATGTAACAGACTATATATTCAGCCAATCCCGTTCCGCCGAATTAACGTAGCAGTTTGTTTTTAACGCGTTTACATCTCGTCAAATCATAACACCTGCAACATCGGCATGTAAACAGAACAACGGAGGCTATCCTTCGTTGCCCCTACCCCCTCCCTTCATAAGCGTTAAATTTAAAATGTTCACGTTTTAATTTTCTTGCTATTTTATTTATTTTGGATTAATTTAATGTCTACCACCAATTCGCTGCTAAAGTGGCTAAATAAGAAAAAAATGTGGAAATATACCGTATTTCTTTACATACGTCGCCTGTACGTACTGACAGTAATATAGTTCAGGTCAATGTTAGAGGTCATTGACACTGATATTCAAATATAAAACATGCGCTGTTTAAGAAAACGCTAACATAAATGTTTGTAAAAACTTGAAATGATTTCATATTAATCAGATTAGTATTTTCACTCATTTTTTATTGTTAGTTCTTTAAAACGGCAAAAAAAATATTTTAAGATACAAACTAGTTTTATTGACAGTTGCAACGTATATGTATGTATACATACCAATATTGCATGCAACATTTTTTAAAACAATTTTTTTAATGTTCGGCTCTTCGTCCACATTGACACCAAATATGCTAACTAAAATAACACGTCGTTTCATTAGTTTCGTTGTGTAGCAGTTGATTAAAAAAAAATTATTTAAAATTAGTAACGTATCTACGTACCAGTTTTAGTTAATATTTAATAAATCGTGTAAAACTTATAATTTTTTCTTATAAATAGATTTTTTTTAAGTTCGGCTCTTCCACCACAGTGATATCAAAAAAATATGGACACTTTAAAATAACAAGTCCGTAAATTATACCACAACTTCATACGTAAATTCCGAGAGCGCTGGTTTACTCCGTTCAGTGGCATCGTACAAAGGAATTAAAGCGCAGTTTAAAAAACTAATTATAACTCTAGTAGGTACCTATTTATTTGATTGAAAAAAAAAGAATTCCAGATTCGTATTTTCTTGGTTGGAAGCAGATCTGTCACTGTATCTGTCACTCTACTTAACGATCGTCCCTTCCTGTGAGTTTCAAAAAAGAAATGACACAACATTTTCAGTACTATACTCTTTGCCAATGAATTGATCTAATTATATCTTTAAGATTGCAAAATATTCTTACATGAATATGTAGATATCAAAAAATCAAATCTCCGTCAGTATTCTTACAATCCTTTTACAATCATAAGCCTAATCTTTATTAGAGACAGATTATCCTTTTTATCCTGAACGTCATCTTCAGCACAGAAATAGCATTAAATTTATTATATTACCTTAATTATCTTATATTTAGTCATTACTTTGTCGTAATGGCAAATAATCAACATTGATAAGAACGTATCCACTAAATCAAGCTGCATTTTCTGTAGTTCACTTTAATATTTCTTTTAAAGAACTAATAGAAAAATAATATACGTATACGGCATATTTCAATTATATTAAGTTTCAACAATCAAGATAAACATGAAATTAATTTAATTTAATTTTTGTAAAATCTTATAGATACCTCCAAATTCATCAACAGGAAGGAGATTTTCAAATAAATAAAATGTTAAAAGGTAATATCCAAAATTCAGGTCACTTTATACTTCCTCAATGTGGATTTTATCAAAGAAAATGGTAAAACCACAAAACCCATGTTAATTTCCCTTGCCAAATATTATATATGTTTTAGATAAATCCAGGAAATTTAACTATTTTTCAGGCTTAGATTTAGCAAGTGGCTACCACTAAATTGAAATTCAAACCGGATATATCCCAAAAACAACGTTTTCAACTGAGGTGGGTAATTATGAATTCAACCGAATACCTTTTGGTTTTAAAACTGTATCTAGCATTTTACATCGTTGTATAAATAATATTTTAATCGGATTTCAAAACAGAATTTGCACTGTTTGCCTTGATATCAGCAAATTTAGAAAAATATTGTCAACTTAAAGAGATATCAGAATGTTTAAAACAAAATATAAATTATTTAGACCAAAGACCATAAGACCAAACTGTTAAAAGTGCAGCGGGAAAAAATTCACAGCCGCAAAATCAGATAAACAAACCAACACAAACAACACAAACGTTTTTTGGGTGCTCTTTTTAACTCATATATGCACATATTCCTTTTTCAAGCAACAAACGACTTAGATCATACTGTAACTGTTGTACCATGTATGTACTTCCTTATGGTTCGTCGGACTTATAAGTAGGTGTTAATATTTACATTCTTAGGTATGTTATTCATCTGGTACTTTCAGTTATATAAGGTTACCTTGTTCTGTAGAATGAATGGAAATGTAGTTCATCAAATAGTCTCTCTCTATTAAATAAACCTATTACAATGTTGAGAACAGGAAATGTAGGACCGAGAATTCAATAAAATACATTAGTACCTATCACTAATGAGATTCAATTGTGTTTTAGGCTTAAAATATTGTGTTTCCACGCTTCATCGATCGAGACCTTTCGTTATTCACTTTCGATTCACGAGACAATTATTAAATCAGTCCGCATTTATTTTCGTAACACGCCAGTAATCTTGGAATTCCGTCTGGGTAAATTACAGGCCTTCCTACTGCATTCTACAGGTATTAAACGGGCACAAAAAACGTCTATACAAATTAAAGTGTTCACCTAAGATCCGGTTGCTTTCAAGAAACCGTGTAATTTTTTTCATCCTGCGTTCCGAGTCTATTGCTAGAAATAAATCTAAATAATTATATGTAGGTATCATTCATTAAAAAATGTATTTGGTATTCGAAATTCGAAATTCGTCGAAATTTTTTAGGACAAATTTGAAAAAACAGGAATGTATTGTGTAGCAAAATATGTTAAACATTGCGCACACAAGTCGGTTGGAAAAGTCTTGAAACTTTTAACCCAGTATGTTATCAATATTCCAAAACTTCAAATATTTGTGTGCTTAGATATTCTAATCATTTTGGATTATATTTTTTACGTTCATTTGACAGTATTCAAATACAAACAGCAACAGCTCAATTTATTCTTTGTTGATGTTCTCTATATCCGAGTCTATTTTCCCTGTCAACATACTGAATATTCAGTAGATCCAGAGCAAAGCTTGAGCAAGCGAAATAGGATAAGTTGAATATACAATATTCAAATACAGATTTGCATAATAAACTTTAATTAATCTGTTTCTGAAGTTCCTATTAGCTTGAAATCCTCCTTGTGTTTCTTTGATAAATGTATAATACTTAAGATTTTCCGACTTGATATAGAACGTGGATATATTTGACTTGTATGCCCGGTTTATTTTTATAAACTGATTTACTGATGGCGCTATGGCCCGTTTCCACAAGAAAATAAAAAACCACGGCGCTACCCCAACTATTATCGTGCTTTCCGTTTTGGAACTGTGACAAAATCCAAAAACAACACGATTTTTATTCCCACAAGCCACTGAATACGAGCCGGACGAAGAATCACGCCGGTACCAACGAATAAAATATGAACACAGATTCAATTTCAGCATGCATTTAATAAATTAACAGCTCGGTTTGTTTCAGCGGCTAATAGAAAAAATTGCCTTGCGTGCCTCGGCGCAATCACACGCTTGTCTCGTGTTATAAACACGCTCGTGTTTTTGCAATAAAATTATGATATCATCATTATTTAAAGTTTGGTGTATTGTCTGTGAACATGCTATTAAGTGTATAATAAAAATTTCGGCGACGACTGTGTATTTATGTATTTTTCCAACAAATCGTAAATAGAAGACTTCCTGCTGCTATCTAATCAATCAGACTGATGTCATATATTTTCAGAATGGTTTATCAATACTTACGGCCTTCTTTTTTTAGTTTTCAAATACAAATTACAATATATCAAGTAGATATGTTCATATTAAATCATAAAATTTATTGTTGTTCTATTATTATTATATTTATTAACAAAGAAAAAAACAAAACATCAAAAGTACCCTTCGCAATTTGTCAGTGAATTAAATCATGCCACTTTTACCTCATACTTACCCGATAAAATTGAAAAAAATAGCATTTTCAGTAGCTGCAATTTAGAATTAATAGAAAGAATTATGGATATACTTCTCATTGTTGTTTTTCGACCCACATTTAGAACATGTTGATAAATACCATAAAGATTGACCCAAAACTCATGCAAGAAATAATTTTGATAGAAAACACAGGTTTTAATTAAAAATTGTAAATTTTTTAGTGATTCATAAAGTACCTATACAGTATAGGAATATGTATAGAATAGCATATCAGCTTTGCTGTTAATATACGCACCCTTTTGTCACAATTTTGCATGACCGTTTTGCATAAATACGGCTATTTCGTTGATACAGGCCTCAATTTCCTCCTTTAGGGCTTGGGTGGTTGTGGGCTTGTTGGCATAAACCTTAAGACTTCAAAAAAAAAACCCAAAGAAAGTCCAGCGCATGATCTGGGCGGCCAATTCTGTTCATCAAAACGGGAAACTACACGACCAGGAAATGATTGATGCAGTAATTGAATTGCTTCTCGGGCTGTATGGCATGTGGCACCGTCTTGTTAAAACCATGTGTCGTCTACATCCATATCTTGCAATTTAGGCACAAACAACTTGATTATCATGTCGAGAGAGTGAGCACCGTTAACTATGCTGTTATTACCTGACCAGTCGCATTTTCTACGAAGAATAATCTGATGATGCCTCCAGCCCAAAATCCGCACCAAACAGTGGCCTGTTGTTGATGCATTTGTGTCTAAAAAACAATATTTCGTGGATTTTCTCCCCAAATGTAACAATTTTGTCGATTAACGAAGCCGTCAAGTAAAGATGAAAATGAGCTTCATCGCTGAAGATGATTTTGTTCAAAATATCAGCATCCACATAACCGATGCAACGAACTCCTTTCGCTCTGTGTGATCAGTAGGCTTCAATTCTTGACTCAATTAAACTTTGTTAGCATAAAGATGCAAATCATTTGCGAGAATTCGTTGTAGTGAATGTCGAATTCTTGTCGATGGTGTCGAATCAATGTTCCTGGACTCTCAACAACACTCTAACGAACTGCTCCGATGTTTTGTGTTGAACGACTTGTTGAAGGACGGTCAGAATGTTTTAGATCACTAATTGAGCCGGTCTCCCTGAATTTTTCAATTAATCTCTTCACAGTTGATTAAGTTAAATCGCTATTCCAACCATACTTTGTACGAAAATTGCAAAACATTGTTCAAAAATGAGAACGCGTTGTTCTTTCGTGTAGCAGTCCATTTTTGATAACCCCGAACTGTTAGCTTTCACACCGTTTTCTTTTCTTCATTGGCAATACTTTACCGGATAAATGACGCAAAATTCACGTCTCACCTATGGCACGATAAGAGCTATAAGTTCAAAACCGGTATGTCTACTGAAGCTGCTGACGTATGATTATTGATGTTTCCTAGATATTGGGGGGTGTAATCCAATGCTAGATGGAGCATTATTAGTCAAAGGAACGGATGTAGTTATCATTTTGGCATGAGAAAAATCTTTGACGTTATAATTTTTAAAATTTGATCTAAATGATCTATGTATTTGTAAATCTTTTCAAAGCTTTTAGAGCTATTTCAATTTAAAAACCAGCGATTATAGCAAAATGGCGACTATCAAAAATTTATTTTTCAGAGAAATTGTTTTAAATACAAACATATTAATATTTTCGTGCCACTGGATTTCTTAATTTCTTCTATGCCTAACGATGTACAATATGTTACTGTAACGTTTCAGTGATTCCGATTCCTTTTGTAATTTTTACCTTGACGTAAGTTATAAATCTCGTTAATGTTTCAATTTTTGTTCATATTTCTGAGAAAGAATTTCTTACAATGGCCATTCGGGGAAAGAACCAACCTTTAATTTTTAAATCCCTTTAGTTTAAATTTGGGTGCCGCGTTAAAGTTATAAATTCGGGTCCTTACCTGCGGAGCAAATTACGGTTATTATGTTCAAAAAGTGTGGGAAAGTCCACAGGTGAATTTTTTTGTAATTAATGTTAGGCACGCTTTCCTTAAAAACGAAGCGGACGGGCATGTTTTTAAGGCGTAAAAGGGATCAAGTGAAGCAGCCGAGGCGGACGTTTGAACTCATATTTTTCAAGTTCGAACTTCAGACCTGACAAGTGACAAGTCTGTTGCTTAAAGGGGACATGTGAATGAGGCATTCAGTATACAATGTAAGCCATCGCTTTGGTTGTTATTAATCAAGCTGGTATTATATGGATTACTTAATAAAACGAGTTTGTTGTACTTTTATTTAATTGAAAAAGTACAAACAAATAGATAGCAGTTTATACTAAGGATCCATTCATTACTTCACAACTATACGCTTTTAAAAATAAATAATTCAATGAGTGACTCTGGCTGTACTGGATCTCTACAGATTTTCTCAATGATATATCTAAGATAACCGGAAATATAAGTGTATAAACTAAGAAAAATAATAAGCCAAATAGTTATAAAAAAGACCACTTTGTAAAATTACTAAACTAAAACTCAAAATAATATGGAATATTATTTTCTTGAAAGACACAATCCACCAGTGTCTTCCTATCTCGGGTGTCGAATGCTGTTAATTCCAAGAAACTGACACAGGAGTCTTCTTGGAATTTTACCTCAACAAATATCGTACGGACTGTACCCGTGAGTACCGATCATTTTCAACAAAACCCTGCTTTAATAAAAAGCTTTCTACTAAATATTTATAATTTTTATTTGCATTTTGACTGCACATTTTTACCTTTCTGTGCTATTAAACCAAAGAATAGCTCTGATGACAAACAATATTTATAAATTCGAAATTATCGAATTAGTAAGTACCTAGTAGATAAGTGCAACATTTTCTGGCAATTACATACCACCACAAACGATTTGTTATTTATTAACACACGTCAGCCTTTACGTTTTTATTACGTCTTAAGCGCGAATAATGAGCGGAGGAGATAGAGATAAACGAGTCGTAAAAAGCTCAGAGGAAAAGTTACTCCGGTATCATTGTTCGCGAGATTGCGAAGTTTGGAGCTTACAGCGGATGTACAATGGAGCGGGAGTTTCGAGACGACACATCTCCGGGTGTGTACTTTTTTTCAGAAATCACGAAGCGAATGTGTTCATCAAAACGGTGATAATACTATTTAGGTCGGAAGGTGTCGGAATGGCAACGTAATAGTAGCAGAGAAGGACGTTTTGTGCTTGTGACAAATAGTAAACTTACTGTTTACAAAGCCACTACACTACATATTCTATGTATATTAGAAAAATTTCGTTCAAATTTTGATGGTCGCATATAAAGTTGTCAGTACATTATTTAGTGGTAATGTTTTACCAATACGGATAAAATATAATATATTCACAAATTACACACATAACTCTTTTCTAAATAACTACCATCTATTAATAATAAATAATTGCCAGACATTAAAAAAATTAAGATTTTTCAAAATAAACACAAACGTGATTTTTATTTCTGCAAAAGAAATAGTCTAAAGTAACAGGTAAAAAGAACACCTAAATAAATAAGGAATATGTATGTATATAGTAACTGGAAAAAAACTACAAATGTATACATTATAGGTATTGTGATAGTATAGATAGTAACATGTCACAATGGAAATTCCAAATAAACTGTTCAATGGTTTGAGAGAAATATACCGATTAATAAAATTGCGCATATTTAAAATACCCAATACGAGTATTTCTACATATTCATTATGAACTCATCGGGAGAACTGAGAAAACCATTTGTAACAAAAGTGTCTTCAAGTAGGTGTTTTGTTGCAGAGATCGTTAATCTTCTTTGGTAAGAGAAATATACAAGAATTCGTAGTAACCGCTAAATATAACAGACAGGCCTGTGCAGATTCTTTGAATATTATTAAATCCACTAAAAAAACATTACTCTTACAGACTGATTTAATAAAGTTGTAACGAATTCTATGATTTACACCTACCTTTGTCCTTGTAGTACAAACTAGCAATTATACATATAACGAGAAAATATTTACTAAACCATATTTGACTACAATGTTGTGTTTCTACTTAAAATTCTTTATATAAATTTTTCATAAGGTACTGAAATATATCTAACCTTTTACTTGCGCAATAAAAAGTATATCTACAACTGTGGCTGCTTATATTATTCTATTGGTACAACACAACAGTAATGTGCTACCGAAATCTACAACATACAGAAATTTTCGTAGAAAATCGTTTGAGATTTTATTGGTATTTGTTGAATATAACAATGTGTATTCTAAGTCAATATAAAATTAATTAGATATATTTAACAAATCTGTGATAAAATTAAATACAATATTTCGTGCAACATTTTATAACTTCTGTACTCATATTTCAAAATTGAAAATAGTTTGAATAGGTATCCACTATTTTCACTATAATTATTGAAATCCGATCATCACGATCAAATCAGCATTCACTTGTTTATTTTTATTATTTTTTTAATTTATTTAATTTAATTTTTTTAATCAATTATTAATTAATTGGGGTTAAAACATGTGTTATTTAAAAAAGAACTTTTAAAAATAAAAGGAACTTTAAATAAATTTGTTTTAAAAATCAGCTTGGGTCGAGTCTTATTTAAATGTCTCCGGAATGATTTTCACTTTTATCTTCTACACTGGTAAATTTCCCAATCTACAGGCGTCTTTCTTGGATTTGTTAGGTGGCAAGACGAGGCTTGAAGTTTATTTGTAGTCAAATTGCAACAGAATAATGCCAGTTTGATTTATGAATGATTCACAAATGTCATACAAATTAAGACGCAAGAATGTTTAAAAAAAATGACTGCAGTCTCCAGACCTATGAAATATTCCAAGCAATAACTTCATGTAGGTACCTCTTTCATCCTTCAAGGGCGTTTCGAAAACTATGAACGCATTAATCCGATTATTAGGATGAGTGATCTCGTCGTTTCAAAAGGGGACAGAACTTAAAAATCGTTCGGAAAGGGGTCGAGTTAATCAGACTTTAATCACCTGTTATGGTCCTTTCATCCCGATACAATTTGGAATAAATGGATCAACCGTTTTATCTAACCTTAAAATTTCGACAGTTCTTGGTTCTTTCAATGTTTAATTCAGGATTAACATGATAAACAACAATAAACTTGCCCTTTTAATAAAATGTATAAAATACATGCCTTGTTCTGTGTTAAATTGTAAAATAACGCACTAAAAATGTATATATGCTAGACTTTGACGTTAAACGGTTTGTCCCTGTTCCTTTCGGAAACAGTTACCCGCAATCAGATATATATCCTTAAAATCGGAAAACAACCGCTATCGATCCATCTGATCTCAGATCATAATTCCACTTTGAAATCCACTTCACTAACACTAGCTTGTCAATCTCTTCGATGTCTTTGTAATATAAAACTTCATTCTGTGGTTTTCTTTTTCTATACATTACAAATAAGTGTTATATTGTGCGTTAAAGTTAAACTAAATTTTGGATCATACAGTAGAACTGATACAATTTTCCATTTCAGATGCTGAGGTCAACATCGTACAACGGCTTCGGCGAGGCCCTCACGAGCCAGCCGAGATCTTCCAGGGGAAATTCAAATATATCCGGCGGGATGGATTTGAGCTACGTGACGGAAAGGATAATATCCATGTGGTTTCCATCGTCCACGACGGCGCACTCCTACCGGCAAGGCCAGCAGCAAGCCGCGCATATGCTGAGGAACAAGCATGGAGATAACTATATGGTACGTGGACTTTTCTAGATATACTAGATGCAGTTTTAATCCAGGAAATTTTGTACATCCAACTACAGTAGAACAGCCTATTATTTAAATTAATTTAATACTCTTGGAAACTTTATGAAATCACAAATGATCATTGTTCAACATAAAATGGGCGCATGTAGAATTCCAGGTATTATTTGTTATGATAGCGCATCGTTTTAATCACGTCAAATTAACAGCTCACGGTTTCTTCAACTACACAGGCACACAAAAAAAAGTCCAAACCCAAGACATCGATATTTATTTTTAAAGGATTTCCTGTAGTCAAAGTTCATTACTTCCCAATGAATTTCGTAGAAAAGTTAAATTTTTGGGTGAAAACTGGCCCAAATATGGGTCAAAACTAATTTTTTCCTAAATTTTACCCAAATATATCTTTTTCGTAGTATTTCGAGGCGCTGAACCGTTACCACCGAGATAGGTGGTAACGGCTGTCCAGGCTGTATCGTCGCTCCCGCTAGGAACATGATTCTCATTCGATTTTTTTTCCATAATCTTACTAAAAAAATGACCCTTGAAACATATCCGCATGTTGCCAGATGTTACTAATGGACAAAAATTGTTTAAACATTTTTTTAAACAAATTCGTAATTTTCGATTTAAATTCTATCAATTCTACCGTTTCCGAGATATTAGCAATTTTTTGTTCGAAGAAACGCGATTTTAACCATTTTCAACGTTAATAAACTATAAAAAAGCAATTTTTAGTGTTGCCAAAATTCTTAAATAATCTTTGAACATCCCTTAACAAAAATCCGAAGAGTTACGCCGGCATATTTTATTTTGAAGACTTGTTTTTTTATTGTTAGCGCCGCGTTTCTCGGCCGCTCTTGGCCGCCTCCTTATCACCAGGGGGGAGGGAGTGTATAAAGAAGTAGCCTAAAAACCTCACGTGATTAATGGCCGATCCCTTAGTAAAAATAACTTTTCTATTTAATTGCAACTTCATTTTTCTCGAAAATGGTACATGCTACCGAATTTCAACAAGTATACCATTTTTGTAGTATGATTTAGAGTTTACAGAACCGTTTAGAAATGTAATAAATTTTGACTTTTAACATATTTTTGTTATTGTACCCCTTTAATTACCTGTATCGGCGACACTGTTTTTCAGAAAGAAACCGTTTACACATTATTCTTAACGCACAGTTGATGTTTACTCGTGTACAAATTTTTACATTTTTATCTTTAGCCGATTTAAAGATAATTAAGGAAAACCATTTGGAAAGTAACAACTTCAACACACTATTTCGAAAACAGAGCGTCTAAGAAAAAAACTTTTTCCATGAGGAACTTGCACACAAGTTTTTTTAAAACATGAACGGGACAACTGTATAACAATATTTCGGAATAAATTTTCTCCTCCCACTTATTTACTACGTTAAAAAATATGCATATTTTGAAATAAATCTATCATTTCGATAAAGTGGAGCCATTGTATAAGAATGAGATAGAATTATATCTAGAAGTTTTTCCAGTGTCCAGTATAAACTTGTCTTTTAATATCTGAAGGCGCCTTTAGTTATTATTAAACAAGACTTCTGCCAAGTTTAATCATAGTAACAATGTTTTATAAACTTTGGCAAGGCCATAACCCTACACCTGTTAGACGACTCGATAGGTATGTGAGAAGCCGAAAAATGTGGCTAGGTACTGTGTTGAATGACAACATTTGTCACTCACTGTCTACTGCTATGTGAGAAAATATTTCGTCGTCGAAGATTTTAGTCGATAGAAAAATAGTTATTAAAGACCCTTTCAATATTCTTTTTATAATGATTCTCATCTTTGGCAATATCTCGTTATTACTGAAGATTAAACTCACCAGATATTATATCAGCGCAATTATAAGAAATAGTACTATTCAAATAAGTAAAAATAAACAAGATGGTCCATCTACAAAATAAAATTCCCTGTCATATGTGAAAAAGAAGCAGTTTGACGCAAAAAAGTGAAAAGACCACGCGTAGTCCTCATCACAAAATTCACTCATTTGTATCCAATTACATCAACCTCCGTCACTGATGATCCCAGAATTTCGACGCCACTGAGTATATTAAATATTCAAACAATCGATGTGTACTTCAGAGAAAAAAATATATTCGAAAAACGGGTTATTTTCGAGTTGATATTTTTTAGCAGGGATGGTTTCACAATCGACTAAACTGTTTTTAAAAGAGGAGCTTTACAGTATCGTCACAACAATACAAATTACAATATGTGACTATAGTAATTAGAGAACTTTATTTAACGTCAAATTCAGTTTGATTATGAAATCCGACATTGAAAAACTGCAGTTAAGTAAAGCTAAATGTTCGTGTCAAAAAAAAATGTGTAAGAAATTTTTGCTTCAAAAACAGTTCTAAATACATATAATGTCATTATTAAAAATTGTTCGGAAAATTCAATGGCATAGAAACTTTCAATTTCTCGAAAGATTGTCTGGGACAACAAAAAATTTCTATATTATTTTTGAAGCGAATAGTTTCAGAATATATTTTCGTTTTGTTGGTCTTTGTGGCCATTTTATTTTAGACTAATAAACAAACAGTAGTAACACGAAAGTTACTTATATCGCAAATAAAATGAGAAATGAGAGAAATTTTTTGTTTAAAATTCAATTGTGAATGAAATGGACTGATCGAATATCTAAAATACTTAGTGGCGTCAAAATTCAGGGGCTCTAGTGACGATGTCTGCCAATATCTCCGCTACTAGTGAATATAAAGCTCCTTTACTTTAGTTACGTTAGATCGAAACTTGAATATGCCTCTCCCGTATGGTCTCCGCACAGTGGCGTCCACATTAATAAATTGGAATCGATTCAACGTCGATTTTTAAAATTTTTAAATTTTAAATCTGATGGCTACTATCCACATAGCGGATATCCGCATGAGGACCTTTTGATACTTTTCGCAGGTCTTTCTTTTTAAAATTTTACGTAATTTGGCTGATTGCCAGGAATTTATATCCAAACTATCATTCTCTATACCTAGACTTAGCTCTAGAGAAAACGAAACATTTTATTTACTAACTCCACGTACTAATGTACTCAAACATTCACCACTTTATGAAATCAGTAACAACTGTAATAAAAATTCTCTAGATATATTTAACTGCAGCCTTAATGACTTAAAAAAATTCTATTTTTAACGTCTGGTAGTTTCAAATATGTAATTTTAATCTTCATTTATGTGTATTAATTAGTGTATATATTTTATTTATTTCCTTTTTTTATTTTATGACGTATTTGTATTTTTTTTATTTGTTCCTTTTAATTTTGTTTGTAATGAATGTACTTCTTTTATTATTGTCTGTAAAATCCCTGTTCTATAATTGGGTAGTACCTTTTGAACAATGTATTAAATAAATAAATAAATAAATAACTGTGTATATATAGTACAAGTTTCATGAAACGAAAACAAAATGCATTAGTCTGAAGAACTTAACTAAGCCTACATTTTTTCCACTGTTTTATTATCCTTTCCATTTTTTTATACGATATGCTGTAGTACTCGCTAAGAATTTAATCAGATATAAGTGCAATTTACCTGATTAAGTATTCGTGTTTCAAATAATACTCGATTTTGTACCTGGCGATTCGCCTATCTTTGTTGTACAATTTAACCAATTAGGCGTCATTATAATTCACATGTTCAGGCCCGAACCCTTTGAATGCAGCGTTTAGATTCCACTTTGTAGTGCCGAAAACGACGCCAATTAGTTGTATGAAACAATACACAGTAGCAGTTCCACTCTGCTCGTTAGTTAAATGGACTACGATTTACAGAGCTTTTGTGCCGCATTTCGTTACGACCCTATTAATAAGCGAGACTTTAATTAAACAAATCAAATCCATATGTATTACTTCGGTTTATTACATATTTCTATTTCTCGGCATTTGGTATTATTACTAAGGACATAAAGTTTAGGATGAATTACGACTTACGAGTGTGGGAACACTGATAAAACTCAGAAATCATTTGTAGTATTAATTTTAAAGATGAAATGAAATCTCAGAAACATATGCATTTTTAGTTAATGTTTTTAAGTAGACCGTATAGTCAATTGGAAGAACCCATTTTTTCTTATAATTTCCGTTTCTTTAATATCCAATCCAAGTTGTGATCCAGGCAGATTATTGGAACAGTATCTGAAAAATATTTAAGTAGTGTCAAGACTTCAATTGAGAGGACATTCAACGATACAAAGACTGATCTGCTCGCTGAGATACATATTTTGAAACAAATATTAAAATTATTTGCCTCAAATCTAAAGTCTCCACAATTCTTCGACTTATTTTTTTATATAGCATGTCAGTAGGTAACAAGTCACTTCAGACCACCCCCACTCTTCCACCTTTTCCCTTCCTTCTCCCCTTCCCGCCCAGCCAATCAGAGCGCAGCATTTGGCTGGAAAACGTGAAAAAAGGATAACCGTCACGCGAAAAAGGATAAACGTCACGTAAAAACAGGATAACCGTCATGCGAGAAAGGATAAACGTCACGTGTCGCTCTAAAACTATGATACACTCGACCACAGATTGCTATAAAAACAAGACGATTTATACCAACTTATCTACATTCAAAAGTTGTAGCCTAACAAATTATTGCCAGCGGAATATGGTATCACGAAACAACATTTTTTAACATCACTCTAAAACTGTATCTGTTATAGATTACTTACTTGGCACACGTCTTTATTTATTCGAGGGTAATATATTTTCTAAACACATGTATGTATATAATATTTATGGTGTGTTCTTTGGGATCAGGACTAGTTCAATCAGCCCACATCTAATTTACAATATCAAAATTTTAATATAAACAAAATTTTATCATTTGTGAAATGTTGATAGTCTCCTATAGATTTCGAGTAAAACTGGAAAGTATACGGTATTATATGATGTGCAAAATGTTTGAAAATTCTGTTCTTATCTTTGGAGGAGGATTATATACATAAATTAAGAAAAAATGACAAAAATACGTCTTTGACGTTTATTTTTTTATATGTATTCCTTCAAATAAAGAACAGAATATTTCAGTAGATATGGGTGATTCAGTCATAATGTCATTAATTTTAAGGTAAGATAGGGAAAAATGAGTAGCTTGTGAATACGCGAAAATAAAATTTTTAAATGAATATTTACGCTGAAAAAAAATATTTTCAAATCATTATTTAAACCGCTCCGCTTAGGTTATTGCAATTTAGAATTTATAATATTGTACGTTTTCTCTATGTTTTATAGATTGTACGGCTAAACCAACACTCATCCGTCAATAGCGCTTTGTTAATAAAATGATGATCCACGGCATCTTGATTTTTAAATAAATTGCAAAATTTAGGACGACTGAGGAAATCAGCTGTTTCTCTTCAACGTTCGAGCGTTCTATAATGCGCCGGCGCGTTCCCGGTCAGCAAATGTGATGCAAAATAGGGCGCCGAATTAACGGGAGTTAAGGGATAATTTGCTTATTTTTTAAAAGGTCGATTTTCTGTCTATATTAATCCTTCCGAATACGTGGTTAAAATTAATGACGTTATGACTGAATCATCCTGTATATTTAAAGTCGAAGATGTAGGTATTTCTTACATACCTTATGTACTGTTCAAGGAAAAGGTATATGAAGAAATTATTGAAGTAGTAGGTCCAAGTAGGGCAGTGGAAAAGGATGATCTGTACCATTCCACGCGATATCCACAGGAGAAATCAAATTTCACAAGAATAAAACATTTTTTAGGAATTCCAAAATAGTAACTTTACTGTCGAAAACATAGAATATAACTAACTTTAAAAAAACAAAAACAATACATTTTTTGTTATAAATACAAATAAAACATTGAAGAAAAAATTCAAATCATTTCAGATCATTTTTAATCATTTGAGACATTGTATTTACAATAATATCTATATTGTACACATTAGTTATAGGGTATTAATGCATACATGCCTCAATTAACATTGAATTACACCAGCAATATCTAGTAAATAGCTAGTAATTCGTAATTATCCAAAATAAAAATAAAAAAGATTACCTCAAAAACACATACTTGATAATGAAATTGTCAAATAGTGCAATCAATCAAATAAACATTCCACATTTTTGTTGTTCCAACATGAACACTGACGAAAACTCCTATAATTTTTTTAGTGAAAGATTTATTTTGAATTACGAAAAGATATTTCTTCTTAAAATGTAATTGATAATGATCAATTTTTAAAATTTTCAAAATACTCAGTGGCGTTGACATTTTTTTGATTCCTACCGAAAATGTCTCCCAGTAAGCATCTCCAGCACTGGTTGATGTAAATGTATATAAATTAAGTAAAGCCCTTCTTCGCAGTCATCATTCTAGTAGTAAATATAAGCAGAAAATAGTAAAATATTAAACATACTATAAATATATTGACATACCTAATAGTTATATTTAACCGAGTCCACTAAATTTTGCAAAATAATGTTTCCACTCTCGGTGGTGTCCCGACCGAATACATATTTCCACGTGCCGCCACTGCTTAACCAAATCAATACTCGATCTACTGACTCAGTTTACATTTTTTTTTCATATAAAATATGAAGTCAACACTTAATCCTCACATGCATAACAAAAGAGAAACACGAACACTCCAATGTAGGCCCACATCTAATTAAACTGCTATTTAAGCAACGAAATAATTCATCCAATAAACGACCAAGTGATACCAATTAATCTGATACTCACAAATGGATCGTACCCCGCGCTCGCACTGAACTTAGTACGTGTTAAGTTACATTAAAGTATAGATTTACTTGGTCTCCGACAGTGAGGTTGTTTATCGGCTACTATTTCAGTGTAAGAAATGCAGTGGCCGTAATTTCAGCGCAGTCGGTCGACACGAATTCTGTCAAAGGTTACAGGAAGGCAATAAATCCAAGCGGAGTTGTTTCGGCTTGGTAAAAATCGCGTGAAGTTAATTACTAATAGAAGTGTCACAGCATGTGAGACAGACTCAGTAGATCACGGTAGTTCGGTTGCAAAAGGAAATGAGGTCAGCTTGTAAGGGCGACGATTCTGTACCATTTACTTACGTTGTAGTAGGGTAATAGTAACTTAAGTATATATCAGTGAAATTTCTATTTCTCGTAAATAATAATCAAACATCGAGACGCCACTTTTGAGTTAACATGCTAAGGACCCCGCACACACCTTATAGAAATTGGTCTTTCGGCGAAATTTCCTGAAAAATTGATATGTTCCTTGTTTATCACTGATCAAAAGTCTTCATGGCCACGAAGCTCCAAATTTGGAGGCGGTAGGGCTCACAAAAAGGTCAATAATAGTGAAAAATTAATTCACTCTCAAATATAATTTTTTTGACATATACAGGGTGGTCCCGAGGTAATGGGCCAAAAGTCATGGATAGATTCCCGAAGCAAAAATATTGCGATTTAGCGAACTTACCTTAGTCCAAAAGTTGATAGTTAAAGAGATACAGGGTGTTAAATGTAAAATATTATTTTAGTTTATTTCCATTTATTTCTTAATAAATGTAAATATCTACGCAAAATTTTGGGGTTTGGGGTTCTTTGGGTAGAGAAATTGAAATTTGTTCACATTTTGGTTATAGTTCATAAAGGGCGCCAGCTGCCGTAGATTGAATGTGTTGGAAACGACATAACTTTTTTGTACTTTAAGGTATCTCATCTTTGGTATCAAATTCTTATTTTCCAACTTTCTTTTACACAAAAAAAGGTAGACTTTATGAAAGTAGCTGTCTCGCACCGTTTCCGATATAATAATCAACTTCAATACATTTATCAACGTCCTTAATGCGAAATGACTTTGCAGCATTTAAAACCTGCTGCTAAAGTTATTCTCAAGTGTTTATAGTTTCTCCATAAACAACTGATTTCAAACTCAACTCCAAAAATGAAAATCTCGGCATTCTATCTCACATTTATGTATGCGAGTATACAATTTAAATTGTAAGCTAAGATGTAATTTTAATTAGATAGGAATAATACTTAATAGAAATTAGCATACAAATGACAGCAATAAGACAAGTGGAAGACGTTAATTATTTGATTTTCGTCCAAATCCTACTTAAGAAACTTTACCGCTAAAATAATAGTACCTGTAGGTACTTAATTGTAATTTAATGCAACAACATTGGAAGTTTCAAAGCCAAATATCTCGAAAACGGCGCAAGATAGCTACTTTAATAAAGTATACCATTTTTGTGTAAAAAAAGTTGAAAAATAAGAATTTCTTACCAAAGATGAGATACCTTAAATTACAAAAAAGTTATGTCGTTTTTAACACATTCAATCTACTGCAGCTAGCGCCCTCTATGAACTTTAACCAAAATGGGAACAGATTTCAATTCCTTTATTCAAAGAACACCAATCCCCAAAATTTTGTGAGGATATTTGCATTTGTTAAGGAATAAATAAAAAAAACTGAAATAATGTTTTACATTTATCACCCTGTATCTCTTTAACTATCAACTTTTGGACTAAGGTAAGTTCGGCTAAACCGTAATATTTTTGCTTGGGGAATCTACCCATGAATTTTGGCCCATTACCTCGGGACCACCCTGTATAATGTAGCAAATATAACTTTTGACATATAATATAGCTTGTTTAACAATGATTAGCATATTATTTGATAAAATCTATGAAATGCTCTCACAAATAAAGAATTCATTGGATTATTTTTTCCTAAACATTTTAATCCTTGTTAATATTCTGATGTCTTAATTTTTATTTTCTAGTTAATTTCTTTTTCCGATTTCATAAAACAGGACCCGTTAGTTATTTTTCTATAATATTTCAGACACTTCTTTCCCAACTTTGTTACATAAATTCAGTTTTGTGTTTTTTTTTAGGTGTTCAATCTATCCGAACCCAAACGAGCCTTAAGGAGCGAGCATAAGCACGTGAAGGAGGTGGGGTGGGCCCTCAACCTGGCACCACCTCTGGAAAGACTATGCAGCGTCTGTAAGGAGATCGATTCCTGGCTCTCCGGAGATCAACACAGGATTGCGGTCTTACATGCGAGGTAATATCTCCTAAAATGAAAAAAGACATTTCCCCGTATCTCGCCGCAGCTTTTTATCTCTCCTGAACGGCGAAATGTTTATAGCGGCGGCGATGCCGACCACCCGACTGTAACGGGCGATTCACTTAAGCGAATTTATAAAAAAAAGTTGCGCAAATCCTCAATGTCGCCTTTGGTTTACTTGTAAAAATCGGTCACTAGAGAAATGGTATATATGAGAAACCTCATGTTATTCTTTTTAGAGTAGTTTTGAAACTAAATATTAGCATCCTAAAATTTTTAAGTATTATATAACACCTTGCTTCGGTTAATGCTACATTATATTTCTCCTTGATTTTATTTGACAATAGTCAGTAAACTTTCCTGTTATTCATTCATTAAATTCTTACATTCTTATCTTTCTCTTTATTTGTATCTTTACATATTCAGTCATATTTGAACGAAAACATAATAATAATCAAATGTGAACAATATGCTACAACCACCCACCAATAATACTCGATGATTAAGACTCGATCGACCAAAAATGGTAAAGAACGAAGTCCAGTATTGAAATTAGACAAAATTTTAAATCCAAAATCGGTATATGTAAGTTTGATTGATGAGTGATCCTAGGTTTTGTGTACTAGACAGACTCTTAAAATTGTTGAATTGGTCATCATTTGCTGGTAGTTGCAACCCAGGTAGCTCTTTGCCACTTTTGGCCGAATCGAAGGTATTGAGTAGCAGGGACCGCTAGATGTAGCACGCAACTATATTTCACATTTACTTACTCCATGCCTGGATATAAGGTATTAAAGCCGGATCATTCATCCATTCATTCCTATAACCCATAACATTTTGATGATGTTCGAAACCGATAATATCAGTTTTGTTCTTTAAAGCATATTTTTTTGCACATTTGGCCAAGCTAATGTGAATACAAAGATTCTAATATTTGTAGTTACAAAATTATTCAGAAAAGAATAAAATTGGAGTGCAGTGCAAGAAACCTAAAGGCATTATATCATCAACTTTATATCTCTTAACGTATTCTAGGCTTTTATGGCGAACATCTTACGCGATTCACCGTGTACTTATACTATTTTTATAGCCCGACGCAACACGTTTGGTAAGCCATACGCGAATCTAAATAAAAGTGGAGCCTCTATATTGCTTCCGTGGCCACGTCAATTCGAATTTTGATTACCCTCGCGTTCCACGTCGACCGCAATAACTTGTTTACTTAGGAGGAGCGAAAAATGTCTGCATAAAGAAATACGTTTTCTCTGAGAGCTTCGTGCTTATTTAAAATCAAGAATTTAAAATGTTTCGTCTATTAACTCATCTCTAACGCATTTTAAAATTATTTTTATGTTTTCTTCTAATTTTACTTATTTTTTATAGAACCGTTTGTACTCAATCTCCCATTTTAAATATTTCACCTATTCCCTTATCTTCGACATCACCATGGGTTAAGCACCATACAGATGTTCCTCTGCATCAAATTTTGGTTCTTAATGAACCTGCTGTGGTGCAACGTGTCACACTTGCAAAGGATGTGATAGGCATTTTCTGTTACGCTACTGCAAAGTCTATATTATAGTCCTCTTTTGGTCAGGTGTCCTTTGACCTGGATCTTATGCCCATTGTTGACTTATTCCCTTATTTGTCCCCATGCTGTTATTTTTTGATAATTCCAGGCTAATATAAGGAGTTGACGAAGCCCCTCTAGGTAATTTAATAGCTCTTAATAAACATCTGCTCTATCTTCAACATAGAAATGTTCTAGTTTGGTTTGCAAGCTTCCGTGGCAGTTATAAATGATTTAACCATTTCCAGGCTGCTTTCCATGTCGATTCAGACTTTTCCACGTTTCTCGAGCATATATCGATTTGAAACAGTGCACACAGCAAATATAAATACCAGCGAGAGGACCTAATCTCCAGTTTCAAAGTTTCTTCTGAAGATAGTGATACTCTCGAAACATCTAAAAATCTAAAACGATGACGTGACAACCGGCCTGGAAATTGTTCAACCAAAGAAATATATTGTATTCTTTTCTTCTTCTTTATTCAATAAAGGGAATCCAGTGTTTAAAAATAGAGCATTCTATTTAAAATCTCCAATCTGATAGGCATCTCTAAATACAAATGCGATCAAATCTTCTTCTATAAAGAGCACTGCTGTGGATTTAATTCTGAAAGCAATTGCCACTGAGCTTTATTGTGATTAGATATTAAATTGACCACCCTCTTTAAGTAATATATTATAGATCTGCAGCCTGTTAGCAATAATATCGTTTGTGTTAAAGAGGGCTAACTGATTCAATATCAATTGTAATCCAATCAGTGAGAATATGATAAACTGTAAATTATTTCTCTAGGGGAAGCAAAGACAAATTAGGGATAATAGTGGCTGCATATATGCACTATTCAAGTATCTGTGGAAATGCAGAACAAGCCTTGGACAGGTTTTCCATGAGAAAGTTTCTGGACGACAACGTAGGAGCACTACTCCTACCTTCCAACAAAAGGTAAGGCCGAAAAATTTACTTTAAAAACGGGAAGATTTACTTGCTTTTTTTTCTAGATATGTAGACTATTTCGCCGGACTTCTTTCCCACAACATCAAAATTAACGCCGCCCCCATGTATCTCACACACGTCACAGTGTTAGGGGCACCGTCTTTCCAACATGGTGGCTGCAAAGCTTTCCTGAAGCTGTATGAGGGTCATACACCTGTCTATACATCGGGTAAGTTCCAAAATCCCAAATTTAATGGATACTATTCTAAAATGGGTTTTACCTGAAAACTGAAAACGCTGTTCGTTCAGTTTCTGCTTTTGGATAACAACAATTTTTATTTGCATAAAAAAATAATAATATTCCACAATGAATATTAAAAAAACTAGTTGAGCTTCTCATTAACAGACGGTGAAATTAAGGCATAACCTAGCACTGTCCGCCAAATTCAACTTCATAGGCCTATTCAGAGAGTATTAATAGTTTTTTTTTATAGTATGAACATAAAAGGTTTCTTCTTCGTAAAATATAAAAGTTAAACGGTAAAAAGGCTCAATAATACCGAACTGTCACAAACTATTAACTATATCAACACCACAAATCTATATTAATTATCCCCAGCAAATACTTATGAACTTGATAAATGGCCTTCGTCGTAATTCCAGCAAGAAAAATCGCGGCGCCCAGCATAAGGCAGCACAGCACGTCTATTTCCTAATTTTTAGCAGCGATACTTAACGCGAAGCGCGACTTGATAAATTCTCCACTAAATCTTACAAGTATATTTATTCCAGACTCACGTTTTGACTTAAGATGCCTACGTTCCATGAAATGACCAGACAGAACAAGAAAGGACCTTGACACCTCGTTTCGATGTACTAAAAGTTAAAAAGTACTTAATCAGTATTAACGCTTACAGGAAGATAACATTAATCGTAATTATTATAAATAAGTCAAATACGAATCCGATTACTGGTCCTTCGAAACCGGATAAAGATAAGTAAAAAAAAGCTGCAGAATTTCCTCTGTATTGGATAATATACATATATTTTGCTTTGACGTGAAGATGGATATTTTAAAATTTATTGGAGCGCAGATTCTGCTGGCAGATTTGGTTGAACGTCAGGACGTAATCCTCTTAACACCGGTCCGGTTCGATAAATTTTCCACTAAATCTTGACGTTTTATTTACTGCCGTCAGGTTTCGCGTTAACCGCAGGGGAATCCGAACTCGGGAGCGCCACAGCAGATACAAATGCGTCCGTTATGATAGGCTCATTTTGTACTCTCATTTGCACACGAGACGAAAAACCGAAAGCGAAGACGTCGCGAGGAAGATCCTTTTTATCTCGTCTTTGTGTTTTATCACGTTCAACATGGCAAAGGTGACAAAGGGATCCAATCAAGGATGTGCTTTATTACACGGAAAAGAAAGAAACTGATAAACAAATATTCTGGCTGATGGTGCATCGACGCACTAAGATGTTGTCGATGTCTTGTTTCTAGTCTTGAAGACAAGGCTCAACATTCGCGTATAACTTCGTTGGTTTTCTGTAAAGGACGCCATCCGTTTTTCTCTTTGCGAGTACATCTACAACCGAAAGGGTAGCATTTTCATCCCAGTCCGTTAAAGTGGTCCAAAAGTTATTCTGTTGTTATATCCATAAGATTAAATGATAAACGTATCGCCAACTTGAACCAACACTAGGCTTTATAGTTGCTGATTGCAGTGTTGAGTGGACCTATCTTAGTTGCTTCAGTTTGTTAATAAACTTAATTCTTAATATCTTCTTTAATATTTTTGTCAAAAAGGACAGTATCTTTCATATAATGGCAATTGCTGGTGCAGTTACCATACCTACTATTAAAAAATTTTCTTCAAGTTTGTAAACATCCTGCATTTGTCACCTCATGTTAACTTTATGGTTTTTAAGTCTAATCCCCTTTTGCAATAAGGCTGCTCAAATATTTTCATTCCTCCTCACTTATCCCCTTACCTACACTTGGTTGTTACTGTACGCGTATACAAACCGTACAGAGTCCATATCGCTGGCCATCTATAATGGTACATTATAACTCCATAGGTAATAGGTCGACTTGCGTGCAGCGACCGACGACGGCTGTCCTTTTACTGCATTTCTCGCTTTGTTCTGCGAGCGCGTTTATCAGTACCAGTGTGTTAATTAGATTACATGCAAGGCGATGTAACGGTCTGTTAGTGCGAACAGGGCGAACGGCTAATGGGAAACGGCGAGCGTGAAATGGTGCTTTTCTTTTTACACGTCCCGATATTTGAGCAGATCTTTCCCAACAAACCGTGACTGACAGCACGCGTTTGAGCCTCGGATTAATCACGATTTCCCGCGCCGATAGTGTAGCGTTACATAAGTTTAGCGTTGGTTAACGAATATCGTTTCATTAGCAGCTCATGCCGCAACGTAACGGGTGCATATAATTTGCATTCGTTGTCGGTCTAAATTCATTTACATACAACGATAATTCATTATACCCAATTAAAAAAAACGCCGAAAACATCATCATGAAAATCCACACAATTCTTCAAGATGGTCCGGTTACAAGTTGTGCCAAACTTACTTGCAATAATGTTTGATGGCAAAATCTACAAATTGTACGTAGGCACTTAATATCTTTGCATGTAAATGTCTGCCTCTGATCTGAAGCTTCCCATCGATCAATTTATTCGATACGTATCTAGCGGCACCCTAATGCCTGCCCCATCAGCGTACCCCTGAAAAATCCATGCTTTTTGTTGAGGGACGTAGGCCGGGCATTTCGTTGTCGTTTGTGCGTGTGTCAGAGAGTTTGACGCTTTGCTTCGTCGAATGTATGGCACTGTTTTTATGGCAGTCATTGACATTGTGTATTGTGAGCATAGAGCAGCACGTGGTTTGACCACAGATTTAGTGTATTTCTGCACTACAACGCGTATTGTCGCTTACTAGCATATATTGCACTTCAGCACACTTAGGAATCTTTGACCTACCCAAATTATTCTCGGGCTAGGGTATGTGGGGCAGACTCGCTTTTAGAACCCCTAGGCTCGCTTTACGCAATAAGATGGTGGGTGCGGGTTCATATTCATCTCCGGTATCGTCGGTGCCGTTGCGTATGCTTTCAAGCCCGTGCAGTGGTGTATTCTCCCCTCACCCCGTTGCTTCTTTTTTGGAAGAGGTTCTACTCATCTCACTTTTACCTATACTTGTTTCTTGTACTTAGCATAGTTCGTCTTTATACCTACGATACAACTAAGTTGCTTTTGCATAATTAAATTAAGTATTAAGTAACTTCATCTTCAGCCATTAGGGATTAAAATTCTCTTAAATCTGGAAATTTTATAAAACTGAAGCTTAAACCAAACAAATCCGACATCATTCTCAAATTCTGACGGCTGAAAGATATCTGACTCGACGTCTCGCAGGAACAATAAACGAGCAAAATCGTTTACGACGCCAACCGTGATTAACTACCTCTACTTGTTTATCTGACTTCACTAAACGCAAATTTTCTTCCATCTAACGTACTACAGTGCCAGTGAAAAATTTGTGATAAATGAGCAGCATCAGCGAGGCCCCACCTTACAAATGTAAGAAAATGCTAGGTGTGTTGGCCAGAAATGGAGGGTTCATAGGTTACGGTTAACTCTTCCTTTATTAAATCACCGTCCGTCCGTTCATTGAAAGCTCAACGTGAGACGTTGGAGGACGGGCGGAAAAATTAAATAGAATTCCGTTCCCAGTTAGTCGATGCCATTCGTACAAAATTACTTGTAAGTTCTAGGTTGTACTAACTGAATCAAATCGTCAAATAAATATGCCTTTGCGTCAAGTTCAGAACTACCAAATAATTATAATATGATCAATGCAGTAGGGCAAGTATTTATGCCAAAATTATGCAGAAATAGATCAGGCAGAAAGATACATAATATTCACTTTCTGGGATCATTTCTATCTCTGTTGCATTTTTTCATTTAGTACCAAATATTTAAAGATAAATGCACTGAGGATCAACATAAAATCTGATATGCCATTATTAAAAGCTTTTATATTTTCTAAATTTATTTTAACGGTACCTACTAGATGACTTGACAAAACATTATCTCGCAAATCTTTTAATGTGAATATATCTGCCGAAGTATGTATATTACTAATGTATTAAGAAGAGATTATTGGATTAGATATCAGATACTATATTTGGAATCGATAAAAAATGTATATAGATTCACGCACAAGATAACAAACTCTTCTTTAGCAAGCAGCTAGCTTAAGATAACTCTTCTCTGATGCTGCTCTTGTAAACTACCCAACAATGCCATTTAGTACAATCAATAAAACAGTTTACATCAGACACAACATGTTCCCTTTCAAGCTCTTCGTCCAACACAGTAATCAAAAAGAAAAATCGTGTAATTTCATTCATAAATTCCGTTTTTATGCAACCATATTTGAAAGTAGTTCAGCAATCATATTTGAAAGTAGTTCACGAAGTAAAAGCAAACTGAAAATATTTCATGAAAGAAACACCCCAAACCTCTGATAATCATGGGGCGTTCCTTTGTTAATTAAAGTTCTAGCACTGTTCGGTGGTTTAAAATCCACAAGATTATTCATATTCATGTTCATCCACTTCTGGAATATGGATGCACCGACTTTAGGATACCATTAGAGAAAGGATGAAATAATGAAGAGTAGGATTATAAGACTGTAAATACAAGGGGATTCAACATCCTTTTTCACTGCACTATATATTCATCGTGAGCCTGTGTGGTCTTAGAGTTCCTCATCTAACTTTAGCCTCATAATTAATTCTCAGCTATGACAGTAGCTCCTTGTGATGAACTAAGGTCTCATTTTCCTCTTTGCAGAACCTACCAGGTTAATATTGGTAAGGTGTTTCCGGAATCTGCAATGTTCAGTTAGCAACGATTTTAGTTAAATAGGTTCTGCTTTATTTGGAAACTAAAATTTTAAATCTCCAGAGTTGCCGGTACAAACTTAACTTCTTGTGATTATTATCTTCGGACTCTTGAGTAGCCTTTTGGAAGAATTTGAAGGGTTAAAGTTGATGGTCTATTCCTAACTGAAGGAACGATGAAAAATATTTCTCTTATTCAATTGAACTTTTATTATGTAGATAAATAATAATTACATGTGTCTCTAACTGTTACTTTTTGAAATACTATTGTACACGGTGTAAATAGATAATTGCGAAAAAATTAAGGTGAACACTCGTTGAAGATTAAGAAGGAGCTTTCCTATATAAAAAAGTAATTTCTTGCGTAACTTTCTTTCTATGGCAAATATTGTTATTTATATCTGTTTGTGACAGCTCGATTTACTTCAAACAAATTTAAATCATATTTATTGTAAATGTTTTTGAGCAAAAAAATCAATTACATTACGATACACGTGCTGATCTGGGGTACTAAAAATAAATTTATAATAGGCGATTGTCAGATACTTGGCAGTTATTAATATTATTGCCGTTAGTTTAAGTACCTGTTTGTGCAAATTTATTCATTCACTCAATATGCAGATCTACACTAACGCCAAATTGATAGCATTTTGTTTATGGTCTTGTCAATAGTAACGCTTTAGAAGCATCTCGATTTTATCCCAAAACGTATCAACGTATTTTTCCTCAACAGAGTTGCATCATTTCATTAATGGCTACGGGGAACTTTTAAGAGAAGTTTTAAGTTGTGGTCGCCACCGCAAAATTAAAACACAGGTTTTGGAAAAAGCATTATTGAATTTGACTGATGAAGAAATGGACACCAACCACATGACTTTATGAGTCATCTTAAAGAAACAACTTTTATTTCCCTTTCGCATACAAAGAGTCCACGCTATTTTATCGCAACGTTTTCCGTAACGTCTTGCATTTTCTCGTAGGTTTCTGGAAAACATTGGTCAAAATCCTGAGTTTTGGCATAGATCTTGTTTACAGATGAAGTCAATTTTTCAAGAGAACCGATAATTCGTTATCATAATAACCACATATGGGCAGAAGAAGATCCATATGCCAAAGTTCATCATTAACGACACTTTTCTCTGAATGTGAGGATTGGAATTCGTAGAGGCCACTTAACAGGCCCATTTTTTTGCTCAAAAACTATTACATTTACGAAAAAATTAGATTAGGAGTGATCAAATTTATTTCAATTAAACTATCTAGAGTAGAATTTTGAAAGGCCACATGGGCGGTAGAAAAAGTTGAAGCCCAAATGGAAGATCAAGAAATTATCCAAATTCAGTTTTGTATTAAGGAAAAAATAGAAACTAAACATAGTTTCTCTCCCTGTCTGAAGAGCCATGAAGCCGCAGGGGGGGGATTTTTTTTTATTAAAGACTCCTCTTAACTTTCTAAGAGGAATCACCTGCTTAATTTTGTATGTATTTACACCCTGTGCGTCATTACCACAAACATAGCTGTCTTCCTTTCTCGCTAACCTGTCCGCTGCTGGACTTCCTTCGCCGCTAAAGGGTAATCAGTTTAAAAACTGGCCCATCCGAGTCGGCCGAGATGTCCATAACCATTTTTCTCACAATCGCCTCTGTTCCTTACAGGTGTCTACTCGGTATCGAGTGGTGTCAGCCAGTTTACCGTAAACGTAACGGGCGAAGGACGGCGGGGCCTGCAGCTCCGTGGAGATATTCTGATAAAGTGCTATCACAGGGGCGACGCGGGCAGGGAGACCATCTTCGCGTGCCAATTCCACACTTGTGCCGTGGCGGATCACACGCTCAGCTTCACGCGACAGGAACTCGACGTCGCCTGTAATGGTAAGTGGCGCTTTTCTTTTTATCCCGTCCGCGTCCGTCCGGCGTAACGCCGACGGAAATGTATGCAATCCCTTCGTAAAATCGATACATGCGAGCCGCCAGAATATAACTGACTTTATGGTGTTGACGATTGTAACATCAAGAAATTTTACAAAACGAAAAAAAAAAGGTAAAGTTAGAAAACACTAATGTTTTTACCAAAACAAAAAATAGGAAAAAAGTCAAATTGGAAGAATGTCTAAATAAAATATTGGAAAAAAATAGTTATTAAAATATTTTTCGGGATATATTTCGCTGGAGCAAACCATATGAGTGTAAAAATAGCATTGTTGGGATGCCTCAAATATTAAAATAGTAGAGCCCAAGTAGTCCAGTCATTATAGACATGGAACAGCCTGTTTCGGGAAAAAAATTCTATTAGAAGTTTTTCTGCGGAATATTGTTCGGAAATGTGTTATAAATAAAATATCAAAAAATCAACTCGAGACTGGTTGGGAAACTTTATTTAAACAATGGTCAAAGTTATGGAAAAGTGGTTTTTTAACTCGCGTAAAAAAACTATTATTCATAGCGCAAAGAGGTTTAGACAAAAAAGGCAGGTATTAAATAAACCTTTAAAATGAGACAAGTCCGATTAAATTCGGATAATTTGTTTATGCGCTCAAAAATGGTCGAAAATGGCCGTTTTTTCAATTGCAATTAGTGCAATTTTCATCGTAGACACTTGTAATTCAGGATTTTTGAGGCTTTTTACACCCTTAATAAGTGATAAAAATTTCAGCCCGAACGCTTCATTGGTTTGGCGTTGGCGGAATTCGTTATCTAAGAAGATGCTATTTTCAATTCATTTTTCTCAAGCTTACAGGCGTTGTAGGGTTTCGATCATTAGTTGTTTTAGTACCTAAATAGTTGTATTGACATATGCATTTACTGACAATTTAATTTTTCAAATTTAATTTGTTTAAAAATGACTGAAAAAATGTTAATATTTATTAAATTGTTAAGATAGGTAATTATTATAAAATAAAATAGTAACCTCTATACTTTAGTTTTCTTCGAATTTAAAAAAAAAATCGTTGTTGTAAGTTGATTAGAAGCTGAGATAATTTTTTTTTTTTTTTAATCGCAGTGACCTTAATTATTAATATTAAGAGCCGAAATTTGGAGAGAATATACATTAAGAGCTATATTTTCATGTCCTACATTAACATTAAGGTGAATTCAACTATTTAATTGCGAAAAAGAAGATAGCGGCGATGCGTTCTATTACTTGGTCTAGCGAACGAGTGGGGAGAGCGAGGCGGAGCATGCGCGCTTAACAATTTAATAAATATTAACATTTTTTCAGTCATTTTTAAACAAATTAAATTTGAAAAATTAAATTCTCAGTAAATGCATATGTCAATACAACTATTTAGGTACAAAAACAACTAATGATCGAAACCCTACAACGCCTGTGAGCTTGGGAAAAATGAATTGAAAATAGCATCTTCTTAGATAACAAATTCCGCCAACGCCAAGCTAATGAAGCTTTTGGGCTGAAATTTTTACCACTTATTAAGGGTGCAAAAAGCCTCAAAAATCCTGAATTACAAGTGTCTGCGATGAAAATTGCATTAATTATTAGCAATTGAAAAAAGCGGACAATTTCGACCATTTTTGAGCTCTTGCGCATAAACAAATTATCGGAATTTAATCGGACTTGTCTTATTTTACAGATTTATTTAATACCTACCTTTTTTGTATAAACCTTTTTTTCTCTATGAATAACAGTTTTTTTACGCCAGTCGAAAAACTACTTTTCCATAATTTTGACCATTGTTTTAACAAAGTTTCCCAACTAGTCTCGAGTTGATTTTTTGATATTTTGTTTATAACACGTTTCTGAACAATATTCCGCAGAGAAACTTCTAATAGTATTTTTTTCCCGAAAAAGCTATAATGACTGGCCTAAAGTACATACCTACTAACATTAGGTAAACCAAAATATTTTATTTAAAACAAGAAATAACAAAATTATACCTAATATTTCATGAGTCAATATCGAAACTAAACGAAGTATCACTTCCGTATTAATAAAAAAACCATTTACGGTGGTTTTCAACTAATTTCGTCATAACAACTAAAACCTCAGCTCAGAAAATATATACAGGCTGTTTTCTTAAAAAAACCCACAAGCCATAATTCCGTCATTTATGGTCTGATTTTAAAAAACAAAAAAATGTGTGAAATGGCTCTAAATACACTATAGAGTGAGCCTATTGGAGCGTATTTATTATTTTTTTTAACAGCGATAGTCACCTTCTTTTTCAAATGGCAATTAAATCGGTTTTTTAATTTATTATTGTGCAGATTACTATTTTGAATTCAACGATGTATATAAAATTTACTTTCTTGAAGCATGTATTACAGAAAAAGCATGAAAATATTAGTCAATACCGCATTATTAACGCCCGGTCACTTAATTGACAACAAACATATTTTGACTAATCATGTACGCCTGGAAAACAGAAAATAATACAACAAAGCAAGTAAATGTCATGTTAGCGTTCGTGTCCCAGTTTTCTACGCATTATACCTTTCTGTGTCATTTACAGTAGGTTATTTATTGAAATAAGCTCAACAGTGCAAAATATGAGTAATAGTCAATTGACGGACATGATTCAGGTATTCTTTCCAGTTCCAGAACCACGTAGATTTATAAGACTTGAAAAAAATTTGAGAAACTATGGTGCTTTTAAGAAACCAAAGCGGGAAAAATGCCAATTTAATGAAAACGTCGAGTTCAATGTTTTTCTTAACGTTGAGGAAAACCCGGGCACTTCCATTAGAGAGATTTGTAATAATATTAGAGCAGCAAAGAAAACTGTACATGCAGTATTGAAAAAATACAATTCAAGCCATACATTCCTCAAAAAGTACAGGCACTAGAGTAGAACGGTAGAGAACGACGGCTACAATTTGTTTCTTTAGTTGTTTTGTGTTTTGTGTTTTTTTTAATAATAAAAAAACTATATTGTCATATCAAAAAAAAATGACTATTGCTTTTCAAAAAAAAAAAAAAGAATAGTAAATAAGCTCTAATAGGCTCCCTCTATTTTGAGCCATTTCATTTAATTTTTTGTTTTTTTAAAGTAGGTATACATAACGGAGTTATGGCTTGCGGAATTTTTTAGGAGACAGCCTGTATATTTTGTCTATGTCTAAAGTCTGAGCCTTCCGAGTACCTACATATCATGCTTTTGAATCTTCTCATTCCATAGCAGCATTCTGTTGGTCATTCTAAACATATTCAAAGTCTTTTATCAGCTTCTTTTGATGACTCTTTTTAGTAAACTTTTTTTTCAGAAAATGGATAAGAGAAGTATACCTCTCTAAAGGATGATAATATCTTTAAAGTGTTTTGAAATCTCCCTTTCATTTTGTAAACATAAACTTTATCGGGGTATCAGAGCACTAACTTAGGCAGTATTTGTTTAAAAAATTACATATTTTACTTTTAATTTGTCATGAATTATTATTTATAATAATAGTTTGTTCATAAAAGGTTAAACATTCTAGTAGCAATATTTTTGTGATGAAATATGGCTTAAAAAAGAAGAGGAATATATTTGATTCTAAGTCAACAATATCTTTTTCCAGCGAATATCCATCTCTAAAGTTTTCGTTTTATTTTAGCTCATGTCAGATTATGATAGATTAATCCAGAAGTAAAGAAACTGAAAATAATAAAACGAGAATTAGCCAGAAAGATTCCATTTATTAAATGGCTTATAAAAATTCGAAAAATTGTAAAATCTTTAAAATGTCAGCAAAATTGTCTATTGATATATTTAAATTAATGTACAATTAATAATTATTACCACTTTGAAGGCATCAACGAATTTCATATTGAACGTAGATTGAATCCAAAATATTTATAAATTCAACATTTTGATAACAGTCCATTTATTCCCCTTTCTTTACGGTAAACAAAGTGGAACTTATTTATGGAAATCGTTAACAATGTGTGACAATATTGCATATAAAACCCAGTACAGTCAAAGATAAACTGAAATAACTTTGTTACCTAAGTATAAGTGAATAGAAACCAACATGAAACTGCGTGCCAATTTATATTTTTAAACTCCACCATTACCTACCAAGGAACTTGGACACTTGCACCTGTATACTATAATTCCGTTAAGAGCATGAAATAAAAATGAACCACACAATAGCATTAAGTGCTTAAAATCGATTTGGTCTTACAAATAGTCAATTTAACGAAGTACCACTAAACCGTTCGTAAAACTTTTAACTCGCATCCAGGTCACAAAATGTAGCAATTGTAAGTTGAAATATGAGATCTGTACAGATGATGTGTTCCATATGAAAGAGTGAAAATATTCAAACAAATAATTTAAAGGAATATATGTAACGCAAAACTTTTAACTATCTTTAAATACTGCAGTATTTCCTTTTGAGAAAATTTTACATAATACTTTTCCATCTGAGCTTTTTCTATAATGCTATGGCTGTACCAATTGTCTTTTCATTTCATTTTTTTTTTTTTTTTCAAGTAAATCGAAACTATTTATATAAAACCTATTGTCAGTCACAAATCAAAAAGACAATGCAAGTATGCTATGCAGGGAGCAGGTAACCCACAATTCCCACTACACTATTTCGCCACTACGCTTCCTACCTTCAATGTTCAAATAAATTTGGATTACCTGCACCCGCCATTCACTAGTTTATATTCGAAATAAAATTTATAATTGTTTAGGTGATAATGATGTGCCGATAAAATCATTTGTAATGCAAAAATGAGATATGTAAGTTATCTATTTTTTTATTTTTAAATTTACATTATGAAGAAAAAGTGGATAACATTCAAAATATTTTTGCATACAGAAAATTATTAGATATATGTACATACAGTGTTATTTTTTTAAAACCTGACAGAGGGCAACTTTTTTATTTAAAGTTAAAAAAATACGCCAAAAAATTTCCATTTAAAATAATTTCGTTTTAGTAGCTACTGCAGAAATCTGGCAACTCCGGAAATAATTATTTGTAAATTTTTCTTAATCAAGTTATTTCCTACAACTTTGCATTTGGAAGTACTAGTCTACTTCAAATAATAAAATTGGCCTGTCAGGTTTTAAAAAAATAGAACTGTAAGGTTGGAAAATTTTGAAGCTGGACATATTGGTAGTCAAAATAAGTCGATTGAGCTAAATATGTCGTATGCAAATGATGCTGGTTTCAAAGATACAGAGCGTTCAATGTTTAAATTTTATTTTGAAATTAATAATTTTGAAAACTGTCAGAGTATGAACAAAAAAATTAGCAGTATTATGTTTTTTGACATGACGAATAAGAATTTTTAACTAATTTTGGAGTTATTTGTATAGGGCTTCAGTTGTACCTTATTACTTTGATAAATAGAGGAAAATTTTTTGACCTTCAGAAATTGTGTATTGAAAATATGAAAAAACGCCCTTCGCATCATATAATAGTTCCGTTCGTTTTTTATATCTCCCTTGGTTATCGAGATATTTGCATATATAAATTTCAATTCATTTCGTAAAGTCTAATTGGTGAAGCCTGTAGTCTCAAATCATTTGAATATTATTTTTTATTTCCTGACTATGGTGGAAAATTCTTTGCCGCAGTTCATCTTCACTTGTCACAGTAGTTGTGTAAACACGTCTTTCCAAATCACAGGTATTCAAATGATTTGACCAATTTTTACTTTCCCTAGAAAACTGTTAATTTGATTCATATATTAGTTCTGAAGTCGTATTTAAAAATTAAAAATTGCTTAAAAACGAAATGCACTGAAATTTGTATAGACACATATCTCGAAACCAAGGGAGGGAGACATCGAAAACGAACAAAAGTAACTTTTTTATGAAACGAAGAACGTTCTGTCATATTTTCAATACACAATGTCTATAACTGTAAAGGCAAAAAAAAAATCTCCCTTTTTATTAAAGGAATAGTGTATAACTGACGCCCTGTACAAGCAACGAAAAAATTAGTTAAAAATTCTTATTTGTCACATCAAAAAACATAACAGTGTCAATTTCTTTGTTCGTACTCTTGACGGTTTTCAAAATTATTGAGAAATTTCAAAATAAAATTTAAACATTAAACGCTCCGTATCTTTGAAACCAGCATAAGGCATATTTGGCTCAATCGACTTATTTTGGTCACCAGTACCTCCAGCTTCGAGATTTCCCNCACAAAATGTAGCAATTGTAAGTTGAAATATGAGATCTGTACAGATGATGTGTTCCGTATGAAAGAGTGAAAATATTCAAACAAATTAAAGGAATATACCTATGTAACAGGAGTTGTGACATGTCATTTCAAATCACTGCTTATCAAACGATTTGACCAGTTTTTACTTTCCCTTTAAGTTGATTTTTAGAAAACTGGTAATAATTTGGTTCATATGTTAGCTCTGAAGTCGCATTTAAAGATTAAAAGTTGCTTAAAAACGAAATGCATTGAAATTTGTATAGACAAATATCTCGAAACCAAAAGAGGGAGACATCGAAAACGAACAAGAGTAACTTTTTTATGAAACGAAGAACGTTCTGTGATATTTTCAATACATAATGTCTATAACTGTAAAGCCAAAAAAAATCTCCCTATTTATTAAAGGAAAAGTGTATAACTGACGCCCTGTACAAGCAACGAAAAAATTAGTTAAAAATTCTTATTTGTCACATCAAAAAACATAACAGTGCCAATTTCTTTGTTCGTACTCTTGACGGTTTTCAAAATTATTGAGAAATTTCAAAATAAAATTTAAACATTAAACGCTCCGTATCTTTGAAACCAGCATAAGGCATATTTGGCTCAATCGACTTATTTTGGTCACCAGTACCTCCAGCTTCGAGATTTCCCAATCTTTCGCAGACACCCTATCTATTACTTACAAAAACAAAAATATTTATGATAAGCATACGAGTACTGCTAGAACATAAAAACAATCTGTTCGATGCCTTGCTATTTGATCTGTGGAGCCGTGCGGCAAAGCCGATCGGCCTTTTTAAAACCTCACGTGCCCTTAGTACACAACACGAATCATGACGAGACTACATGACAATCCGAATAGAATCAGTATCAGTCATTGTATGACAACGGAGTTATGACGACAAATGCACCTCGGGTACAAATCGACGTGATGTTCGACGAAATCCTTGCATTTTTCGTAGTAACCAAGATATGCATGCTAAAGTGTGTACTATGGAACACATACTATTATAACTTGATTACTCAAAATTTTATTTGAATTTTAATTAAAGGCAACGACGAACTGTAAATTATGTATTAGCACAAATATTTTTCGATGAACAAAACTAAAACTTCTGGAAAAATAAAGCACTCCAATGTACGTACACAATAAATCATCCTTATCTATTCAACCTGTTCAGATATTATCGGCAATGACGTTACCGCATCCTCATAAATCGATAAGCAAATTGGGCGATTTTAATTTGTACTTCGTTCCAGATCCCCGGTTCCCCATCGACGGGGCTGTCGAGCTACACTTCTCGCCCGGTCCGGAAGGCCGCCATCCAGTCCCTGCGCCCACGCCGGCAGTGCCCTTCACCCTCGCCGACGACCCCGTGACCAGGGCGGACAGCCCGCTACTTCTTGAGGACTACGACGACGAAGAGGACTTCGAAGACGGTGAGTTATAAAAACTTAGATACGCGTTCATATCACACGGTCATTTTAGAACGTAACATAGATTCAATATTTTCAGTTAGAGAAACAAATGAGATACGTAATTTTTCTAACCAGTGACTCTTATATCCATGCACGGGTGCTTTTTAATTAAATCAGAAAAATTTTCAAGGAATATGCCTATTATTTAACCTTCTCATCATTCAATATTTTGTCTTCCCGAAGCGTCTTTCCAATGTTCAATCCGAGACACCATAACCGGGAAGAGTTAAGTTAGTGGTAAATGGAAAAACACTACAGTATCTGAAATTACGGTTTCCCAATAGAGTGGGAGTTGCATAACAGTGTGAAGGGTTCAATTGTCACAGAGAAAAAAATCCCTATTGATGGCCTAAGCATCTTTTCCAAAATTGCATTCATCAAGTCCTAACCATTATATTTTATATTGATTCTAATAGTGCTGCATATTTCGGAAGACAACTAGGAACTTTCCAGCGCAAAATTGTGTTGAACTTCTTAACTTTCCCAACGGTATATTCCTTTACTATCAGCTTCAATTTAAAGTACTTCTTTGAAGAAATATTGTCAATGTGTGTGCAGCTGCGGAAAATAAATAGTTTCCGATGTAAAATACTTATGGTCCTTTATTTATTTCATATTAAAACGTCTTTAAACGTTTTAGAATGCACATTTTTTTTGTTCGCAACTGGATTATACGAGTATTTCATTATTTTCGGTTTCAAATCATGATTCGCCATCTCGATGGTGAAAATGTATACCTAAGTCTCTAAAAGTGGGAATATGTATGTTTTTATCCACCAAATTAATAACGTACCTAATGATAATGACACCTTTATCTGAGTAGAATAGGTCAAGATTTATAATCAATTAATACCGATAGTTTTTAGCGTCATATTTAGTTAAGCTATATGGATTAATTGTTAGAACATTTATTCGTAAATACATCTATATTTGAATTTAAATAATCCAACTAAACAGAATAATTATGAAATAAAAAAACATCGTACAGATGACATACTTCATACATTCTAGTGAGATATCATTTCATAACTACAGGACTATAACAGTTACTAAAAACGATATAAAAGCTAATTTTTTCGGCCATTTTGAGATTTCATTATTTTCTTAGGGAGGGCTCAAATTGAAAAAAATACATTCGAAGTCCCCCCTCCCTAAAATCACTTTTTAAACACCTACTTAAAATACTTGCACGTCATTATGAAACACCCTGTATATAAATATGTGGAAGATTGTAATTGTTTCAACATAACGTTTTTCACAATTTAAATGTATTGAAAGCACTTTAGACATTTATTTTGTGAAATTCTGCCCTAAAGAAAATACTTGCAAAAATTTACTTGTAGTAACAATATCATCGAATGTAGGTACGTTGCCACAAGGTATTTCAAATAGACTGAAAAATATTAAACTGCGAATATACTCAATAGAATTAAATTGAATGATTCAGTAAGTAAAATATACGGAAAAAAATGATATAAAAATATATATAATTGTACCACTGTTGATTACAATTTATACAGAATATATTTATAATTTTGTTGAACACATTCACTTTCTGATTTGCTATATAGGATAAACATTTTTGTGTTAAATAAATTCTTATAAAATCTCAAAATTTTATTTTCTCAAGGTTTTCTACGAATGTTTCTATGTACAATGTATGTACATATATTGGAATAGCTCATACTACCAATTGCTGTTGAAAATTTTAATAAAATACTTTTGTAAATCTTTCTAGAAATTTTCTAGAGGTATTGAAAAAAATATATACAGCAAGTTAGTACACATACAAATTTTTATATTATTTAAACAATTATTACATTAATTAAAGTTGCAAAAGTAACGTATATGTACGAAAAAAAGTAAAGTGCTAAATTGACTGCACGTTACAAATTTAACATTTCCTTTTTAACGTGTTTCTAGGGGGCGGGCGCACAGTGGGGGAAAACGGACAAAAGTGTCAGTAAGACATTTTCGATAAATTTTGATAATTTTCCTAAATATCAAAATTCCTAAATCCTAAACTAACGAAAGTTTCATGTTTGGAGTGTAGGGATATATGGGTTCGGAGTTAATCGTTTTGGGTTTTATAAATTTAAGATTTGTGGATTTAGGATTGGGGTTTATGGGTTTGTGTTTTGTGAGTTTGGGGTTTGTGAGTTTGGTATTTCTAGGTTTGCACTATATAAGTTTGGAGTATATAGGTTAGGAAGTTTATGATTTTAGTTTTTTTTTATTTTAAGGTTTGTGGATTTAGGTTTTAATACATATTTTTTTTAGAGTTACACAAAAATACTTTTTATAAATGATTAAAGTTGCGACAACTTATTTATACAAAGTGAAAAATCAGAATTATACCATTTTTTGCAACGTATTCTTCCCGTGTAGTAGCTCACANCTAGCTTTTACTATCATTGATGACGATGTATGTAAATATGTAGATTAGATTTTAAAATCATTAAATATTCAGAAATAGATACAATTTAAAAATGAGTTTTTAGCATAGAAAGAATATCTACTGTATTATTATTAATTACACCATTCTCGAAATCATGTATGTACAGGGTGTTTCATAATGATGTGCAAGTATTTTAAGGTGTTTAGAAAGTAATTTTAGGGGGGCGGGGGTACTTCAATATATTTTTTTTGTTTAAATTTTGGTATACGTTAACAACTAGTTGTTAGCCAATTCAAACAAGAAAAATAGCTTTCAATACTACATTTCATTTAGAAACTTTTTTTACTCTTCCCATTTTTTCGTATTCTTAATGGTTTACGAGCAAAGAAATAAATTATTTTTCCTTGCTGACTAAAAACGATCGTCATTTTTGACATGCTTTCTCAAAAATTATTTTTTATCAATAGGAAAAGCTAAGCAAAAGTTTAATAAAAAAAATAAAATATAATTTTTTCGGCCATTTTGAGATTTGAATATTTTCTTAGGGAGGGGCTCAAATTGAAAAAAATGTATTGTAAGTACCCCCTCCCCCACCTAAAATTACTTTTTAAACACCTTAAAATATTTGCACATCATTATGAAACACCCTGTACATAAATATGTGGAAGATTGTAATTGTTTCACAATTTAAATGTATTGAAAGCACTTTTGACATTTATTTTGTGAAATTCTGCCCTAAAGAAAATACTTGCAAAAATTTACTTGTAGTAACAATATCATCGAATGTAGGTACGTTGCGACAAGATATTTGAAATAGACTGAAATATATAAAACTGCGAATATACTCAATAGAATTAAATTGAATGATTCAGTAAGTAAAATATACGGAAAAAAATGATATAAAAATATATATAATTGTACCACTGTTGATTACAATTTATATAGAAAATATTACTTACAGTTTGCATCATACATTTCCAATAAATTGTATTTAATTTTACTGCAATTTTGTTAAACGCATTCACTTTCTGATTTGCTATATAGGATATACATTTTTGTGTTAAATAAATTCTTATAAAATCTCAAAATTTTATTTTCTCAGTTTTCTACGAAAGTTTCTATGTACAATGTACATATATTGGAATAGCTCATACTACCAATTGCTGTTGAAAATTTTAATAAAAACTTTTGTAAATCTTTCTAGAAATTTTCTAGAAATGGCCTTATTGAAAAAAATATATACAGCAAGTTAGTACACATACAAATTTTATTTAAACAATTATTGCATTAATTAAAGTTGCAAAAGTAACGCATATGTACGAAACGAAAGTAAAGTGTTGGAATAAACGTTCAAGAAGTCAACAAACTAATTTGGGGAATTTGGATAATATCACATATTACTAATATTTTGCAGTTAACAAGCCCCAATAAATAAGAAATTTTAACACTGTATTGATATCTTCCAGTTTTTCAAGAAACTTCATTTATTCCAATGTGTTTTGTACATTCATTTACAACTGGGATAAATACTTACCGAGAAACAACAACGACGTCGACATATGTGACAGAACTGAAGTTTAATTAATAAAGGCGTTAAAGCCTTAGGTGTAACAAAGAAATTCTACTGCCAGGGGCGGCTCTTGACTTCCATACCAAGGAGGGTGGAAAAATTTAGGTACAAAGTATTGAAAAGAAAAATCAAATATAATTGGGTAGTTTTATTTTAAGTACCTATTGAAATACAGTGAAAATATACACAACATTATTTTTTATAGTGAAAGTCCATTCTTTTGCTTGTCCAAAATTAACTTTTCAATACTTTTTCATTAAAGTTGATTTTTGCAAGTGCTACAATCAATTTAAACTTTTACAATTTTTTTAATAAACACACAAAAGAAACAAAATGTAAGTAACAAAATGTTACGCACCTGAATAAATTACGTTTATTCAGAAAAAAAGCGGTGAATAGCTATTATTTGATTACGAGCGAACTAAACAAGAGCCCAAAGTGCATAGTAAAATGCTCTATACCCACTCCGTCTTTCACTGCTGTACGACAGTAACCATGACCACCGCTGTAAACACTTTCGAGATGAAAAGGCGAGCTACGAGGAGCACACGTATTGGGAGTTTTGCAAACGAATTTTGCAAGTCGAGTAAAATTGACTGCACATTACAAATTTAACATTTCCTTTTTAACGTGTTTCTCGGGGGGCGCGGGCGGGCGCATAGTGGGGAAAAACGGATAAAAGTGTCCGTAAGACATAAATTTCGATAAATCTTGATAATTTTTCTTTTAAATTACTCAGACACTTATTCTACATGTGACCCTGCGACCACATCCTAAACTAAAGAAATTTTCATGTTTGGAGATTATGAGTTTCGGAGTTAATGGTTTTGGGTTTTATAAATTTAAGGTTTGTGGATTTAGGATTGGGGTTTATAGGTTTGAGTTTTGTGGGTTTGGGGTTTGTGTTTTCTGAGTTTGGGGTTAGTTGGGTTATAGGTTTGGGTTTTGTGAGTTTGGGATTTCTTAGTTTGGGCTATATGAGTTTGAAGTATT